CCGCCCCCCCGGGCCCCCCGGCACCCCCGCCGGCCCCCCCTGCCCCCCCAGCAACACCAGCAGCCTCCCCTGCTCCCCCAGCAACACCAGCAGCCTCCCCTGCTCCCCCAGCAACACCAGCAGCCTCCCCTGCTCCCCCAGCAACACCAGCAGCTTCCCCTGGTCCCCCAGCCCCCCCTGGCACCCCACGGGCTCAGCCTGCTTCTTCCTGAGGGTCAGACTTTCTGGAGGGGCAGCAGCCGCTGAGCTAAGGAAAAGAAAAAAAAAAAGAGAGAAAAGCACAAAAGAAGAAGAAGAAAGGAATGCTGTTGCAGCTGTTCCCTAGAGGAGAGGGGGGAAGGTTCAAACTTCTGGGGCTTCACTGCATTGTTTGCCCTTTAGGGCTGCTTGTTTTCCACGGTTTGTTGGGGCATCCTCACTTCCTACAGCAGGAAAAGGCAGCGTGGCACCTTAGCTGGCTGGCTCCACTTATCCTGGAAGGCTTCATCCTGGTAGATCCCATTGAGACCTGCTCTCTCGGCTCCTCCTGCTATAGCTGCTTTCCTTATCGCTGCTTATTTAGGTGCAGTAAAGATCAAGTTGTCCTCTCTCCAAAGGAAAAAACCCAAAACACATTGTGAGTCAGTTGTTCAACCTCCAGGTTTATGAACTTTATTAGTATCCATGGATTATAATTTCCAGATGGTTCCTCTGTGCTGTGACAGAGATACAGATTTGTTTTAAGGCCCAATGATGAAACACCAATGGCTTCAGAAGGTAAAGCTTTGGGGAAGGAAAATTGCATTAAAAAGCATTTGCAGAAGTTTTGCTGCGTGGTTAAGATTGCTTCCTAGATCAGCATGAGAGTCTGTATCATATCTGTGTGTCTGCATGTCAGACTTTGGAGTAGCTCATGGTTGAGTACATAATTAAGTACAGGCTAGTAAATCCCTCAGTGGTCCATGCACCAGCTCAGTTCCACGTTCAGTAACAACACAGGGATTAAGTGAAGCCATATTTTTGTACGAGGCTAATGCTGGAGTATGTTTCACACCAGAGCAGGGGAGCAGCCTGGTCTGCATTCTTTCCTCTGTGTATGTATGTGCAAATTGAGCTGAAGTAATGGTGTTAATGGGAATTGTTCTTAGGGGTTCATTTTTTTTTATTATTTTTTTTTTTTCTGTGATCAAGACATCGTGGATTGACAGCTCTGAAAGCTGCCAAGCTTCAGACCACCTTACCCAGCAGCTCCTCTTTTCCCTTTTTGCTCTGGTTTGTGTAATTCCCTCATTTGTTGGCTTTGCTTTTCCTGTTCAGAGCTCTCACGTGAGTTTCCTTTTGGCTTTGCCCTGACCAGAATGTTGCTTGTTTTGTCACTTTCCAGACTTTAAACTTCGGGATTTCCTGATTGACAATGAGACATTCTCAGGCTTCCTCCATCATAATGTGTCCATGCCATCATCTGCAGTAGAGGAGCTACTGGATGCAGAGGTCAACCTCCAGCAGGTAAAGAGCACTTTCAACCACTAATATAACACGTTTATTGTTTGTTTAACCATACTGCCCAGATCTGCAGTGCAGGACCCCTCAGTGCTAAGCGTTGTAGAAACACAGGGAAAAATGTAATCTGTGCCTTTCACTTCTTTCTTCCCCTCAATTTACTGTCTTACTTGGTTGGAAACTGTAAAAGGACTCTGAGACCCACATGCAAATGTTTTGTTCTTCATAAGAAAATAGCTTAGTACCCTTCAGGCTAAAGTGAATTTCTTCTTTCCTTTTTTTTGTTTTTCTTTTTTACCAAAGTAAAGCATAAATTAAGTTGCTAGTGCTGTTCAAACTGTTTTACTTTGTTTAGAAACGAAAGTGGAGTGTTTGTCCCAGACCACTCAGCATGGTTTGGAAGAGGTTTTTGATGTGCTGCTCTGTCTTAGATTCCTAAGCAGTGGGAGGAGGCACGTTTTTCGGCCAGTGGCCAGCTCTTCAAGCCAGTAAACTTGTACGTTAAGCAGTACAAGAGAGTCCTGAACTCAAATGAAACTCCTGACTGCTCCCATTATTGTTTTCATAAACATCAGCAGTGGTGACTGTTCACTGGAGCCCCTGTCTTGGGATGGCTATCTGCCAGCATCCAGCTCAGAGCATGTTTTTGCCTAGCCTGGATGAATTAGTTCACCTTTTGCAGCCCTTCTAATGCTGAAGTCAGAACTGGTTGCTTCAGACTTCAAAGGAAGACCTGTGGCTCTCTTAAGGCAGTACAAAAGGTGTTGTACAAAAGGAGGAGGAAATCCATTGTGCTTCCCAATTCCAGATCAGATCTTTTCTTTGAAGTGGAGTTAATTAATAGTCCTTTCAGTTGTTGTTTTCATGTAGTTACAGATGCTGTCCCCCTTTGCACATGTTGTCCTATTCTTCAGTGAATTCCATCAAGCCATCTTTTTCAGTGCAGTTTGATTATTATTCCTGCAAGTAAAGGATATGTTTTATATAAAATAAGTGAAGTGGAAAAAACTTACCCATTTTATGTTGAAAGCTTTGTTTTGCTTTAAATTAATTTGCCTGAAAGTAAGTTGTCTGAAATTTAAGCTAGATTAAAACAGAATCATGCTACTCATGGTTCTGCAAGAATATCCAAAAGGCTTCATCAACAACAACATAGTTGTTCTACCTAAGCTGAAAAGGTGGAAATATTTTCAAAGAGGCAAAGATGCTATCTCTGACCGTATCTCATGTAACTACCATATTATATTAGTTGCATATGGCAAAGCCAGTGGAAGGAGATAAAAATACCAGCTTTTATCTATATAACGTATCTGAATGGTGATGAAGATGTAATCAGATGGCTAGTTCTGTCTTTGAGTGCTTGTAAGTTTTGTTCTTGTGCGTGGAAGTCTTGTGCTTATTCTGCCAGGACACTGGGAGTGATGTTTAGTCTTAAGGGCAGTTTGTGCCCTGGGACGGCAGGAAGAACAAATCTAAGGAGTGAGAAGAGGGCAGTGGCCCATGGGATCTGCCTTTGAGCACTTGTCTAATATACCTAACTGAGGGGCAGTGCTCACTCTTCTTTCAAGATGACTTTTTCTGAGTTGCAAAATGGACCATTTTGATTTTGTTGGAAATTTGAGGTGGAGATCTGACCTCACTACTAAGCTGCACGGTGACTACAATAATAATAGGCAATAGTTGTTTGGTCTCTGACTGTATGAGTGGGTCATAGTTTCATTCACAAGGTCATATGGAAGGTTTATTCAGAGTATGCAAACCTCACAGCCTTCCCCTGCAGTCTGTTAGTGTCCTGTTGTAGTTCAACAACCTCCCTGAGCAGCCTGTCCCAGGACTGTCACCATAACCATAAAGAAGTTTTTCCTCTTATTTAAATGGTACTTCCTGTGTTCCAGCTTGTGCTCGTTGCCCCTCGTCCTGTCACTGGGAACTACTGAAGAGTCTGGCTCCATCCTCCCTGTACCCACCCTTTAGATACTTACAGGCATTAATAAGGTCTCTCCTCAGCCTTCCCTTCTCCAGGCTAAAGAGTCCCAGCTCTCTCAGCCTTTCCTCATAAGAGATGCTCCAATCCCCCAAGTGTCTTTGTTGCTCTCTGATGGACTATCTTTAGTAGTTTTCTACTACTCTCCTCAACTTAGGAGCCCAGAACTGGACACAGTGTCCAGCATTCTGAAACCAGTGCAAATACATAAAAATGGACAAAGCCTTGTCTTGATGGGCACGTTGCTTCCTGGAGCAGGGAGGCTTAGCCTTGTGTTTCTGCAACAGTGGCAGGCATGCTCCAGGAGAGTGTGGGTTTTGGATGAAGTGTGGACCAGCAGCTGCCAGGCAGCTATCTGATCAAGCCATGGATGCTACTGTTTTCTATCATGGCCACTGAGCTATAAAACGGCTTCAAAAGCAAGGCTGGGTCCTACCCCTGTGAAAAGGCACAGAGGGACACAGATTCTGGACTGGGGCCACGTGTGACCCACTGAATGTCAGTGAGGAGTAAATGGCAATGGCCAGGGCATACACTGACTGCAACAGGTCTCCCTGCTTTGTAGAGCAGGGATAGTCTCAGGAGAGAGAATGATGTGACTTATGTCTGGCCTTTTGAGAGTCCTTAGGAGACTTAAAGTCACAGTTAGAACATACTTAGCTGTTAATGACACCATGGCTTCAGATTACCTGAAATGGATGCAGAGAATTGGCTTTGTGTGACTGTGTTTTAGTTCAGGGCATATGCAGAGCTGTTGTTCTAGGGTCATGTGCTCTGGACCTCAACAGTGTTTAGAAAGAGCAGCTTTTCTCCAGAAGAGCTTAAAATCTGATTGAAAGATGTGGACAGACACAGGGGATGGTGGGGATCGTTCATGCTCACTTTTTTGAGTGATCTTTGGTCTCTTGAATGTCATTCCAGGACTATCCCCTTTTCAGCATGGCTACAATGGTGGTAGTATTTCTGCTGGCATTAAAAAAAAAAAAGTACCTAAACTTTTTCAAAATACCAGCCTTTTTGATGTGAGATCTATCCAATTTATTTAGTTGGGTGCATCATGGAAATATCCTAATTTTAGCATATGGATGCAGACTAAAGTTAAAGGTTTGCATAAGTGTTGCATTATAAATCTATTTCCTCTCCTATCAGTTCCATCTGCTTGTTTTCTGAACATAGTGCACATTTCCCCCCCCGATTGTTGATGTCCTTTTGGTTTTGAAAGACGAGAAAATATTCAGGCTTACAAGCTTGATGCAGGAACTATTAACTCTTCTGGGATGTAGATCAATCCTCTTTAGTTGTTGCTGGAGGTTGGGCAACGCATTTTGGGTATTACAAAAGAACAGAAAGAAGAAAATAAGTGTAAAGCTGTTGTTCACTGTTTACAATAAAATTGTTCCCTCTGTCTAGCCCCAAGGCAAACAAAAAATCTTTCCAGTCGAAGACGCTGGATTTTCCTTGTGTTTATCACCTTTGTTAAGTGTGTGCTTGTTTGACATGTACCTGTTTGTTGTTCAGCAAACCTAAATCCTCTGCTGACCTTATTGAAAGAAACTAGGCCATCAGGACTGAAAGGGACTGGAGGTAATTCAGAGGGATTTTATGTATTTCTTTCATAAATGAGGTGGTTGCTTGTGGATTAGGAAACTTCATTGACAAGCAAACAATCACCTTAAGTAAAATATGCCTGTGAAAGAAGAATCTAGGATCTTGTATCTTGTTTGTTGCAGCTAGTAAGATATTTTTTTTCAGATACATTAATTATCCGCCCCAAAACACTGAACAATGTTTCTCTCAGCAGTTAAATAAGATACTTCAGAGCTAAGGGAGAAGGCAGTCCTAATACAGAACAGCACAGAAAGTGCGGCTGGGACATAAATCTAAGGAGTTTGGGACATAGGTCTTTTGCCCTTCACATAGATTCGCCAGACTTGCGTCTGGTCTCAAGCCTAGTTTTGTCTCTGTGGCTCAATTCCCAGAAGCCTGAAGATTGGGCAATGCTTGTAGCCTTTGTTGGAGGAAATGGCTGCTGTGGAGGACGGGATTGCTGCTGCTCTTTACACGTGTGTGGGGAAGTGGGGAGAGTCCTACCTTCCCCAGGACTTCTCCCACACACGAGCAGCAGGGAGATGGTTTTTTTTTGTGGAATTGAGTTTCACATGGGTTGGGGCCATGCAACTTGTAAGGAAAAGTGCCCTCTTGCTTCTATCTGGAAATGTCATGAGCTTTGTCTCAGTGATAACCAGTTGTGTGCTGCAAGAATTACCAGGCAGGAAGACTCAGCTGCTTTCCCCACTTTTACAGGTCATTGTGTCTGGTTACCGAATGCGACTGCGAGATCTCTGCATTAATTCAACGCTGTCTGAATTTCTTACAATACAAAATCAGACTGTGGCTGTGGACTCTCAGACCTCCCTTTGCACCTTGCCAAAGGAAAAACTCCATGCAACTGAACAAGTGTTCCGTGCTAACCTGAATCCTTTGAAGCCTCTTCAGGTGAGTGCACTGGTCCCATCTGTGAGAAGCTGTCATTGACACTAATGTTTTCAAGGGCTGTCAATCTAGGAACTCATCCCTGCATTTCTATAGTGAGCTGTTCATTGGTAGTGACAAAGAGAAAATATTTTCTATATCACTGGAGCATAAACAACATTCCTTCTTCATTTCATTCTCGTCCTTCTCATTGTAGCATGTTACTTGCTGATTGTAAATGTGTGTGGTCTGCAACTTCAGTTTGTCAAGAGGAAAATATTTACTCTGTATGGTAACAAACAGGCTCTTGGTTGTCCTTGTGTTTTGGTCAGATGTTGTCTTCTCTGGAATGAGCCCAAATGTTAGACTGGCCCGTGCGGAGTGCTAAAACCATCACCCTCTGCCCTTACAATGGGGCCACTGAGTGAAGAAGTTTCTGGCCAGTGGCAAGACATGACCTTTGAGCAGGTTTAATTCATACAAAGAGGAAGCAAGTTTTAAAGCCCTGTTTCAAAAATTGACCAACTGCATGTATTTTGGAACCAGGAGCTTATTGAACTTCAGGAAAATACATTATTTAGGGGGGTGAGAGGAGACTGAAGTACACTTAGCTGTTTATCTAGGAGACCCCGGTGATGCTGTGATATAGGTCAATATCTGGTAAATCACAAAAGTTAAAGGAAGTTAGTGCTGGAAGTATCAGTAGAGAGAAGATACCACAGAGCCCACTCTGTTACCCACTAAAACAAACACTGTATTGTCTGCTGTGGAAGAAATAAACACTTTGTCTGTATGAGTTTCCAGATTTGATGAGCCTTTTAGGACAGAAAGTCATGTACCACTTGCTTGGCTTTGTCCCCAGTCAAAGAGGGTCATTATCAAGTACTGGAATCATATTACTCTTCTGCGCAGTACACAGTGGTCAGTTACTGCTCTCCACAGCTCATATTCTGTTTTCCACATGTCCTCCATCTGCATTTTTTCTTTCCTGCTGGAAGAGCAAGATAATCGTAACCGTTAAGAGATGAGGTAACAGCACTAAAATTGTCCCCATAACAAAGATTGGCTGCTTGAAAAGGAATGGCTGTAAGCAGTTTATTTTGTTCAGGTAGATCTATATGCATGCATTTACATTAAATCATTTAGAGAAGCGAGAATTCTGGGGACTTAAGGGGGTGAAAATAGCCAGCAATAGCACAACTCAGCCTTGGTCTTCTGGGCCTTCCAGAGATTGTCTTTCTTCTCTCATGTATGGGATTCTCCACAATTTAGCTGACAGAAGCAGTTACTGAGTGTACCTTAGTGTTGTTACATCTATATTGCTTGGTGAAGGAAGTAAGTCATGAGCCATGCATGCCACTTGGCAACAGCAAAGCAGAGTAAGTCATTATGTGCAATGTTGGGGGACTTCCGAGAAGCTGCAGAGGAAAAAAAAGCTCAAGTCCAGAAGCCAGAAGTTCTAAACCTGCTGTGAAGGTCCACAGTTTTCCTCAGAAAAATGTCAAGGGCTGTGCTCTGGTTAAGCTGCTGTAATGCATCAGTGAATTAAATAAAAAATAACTGGCTTCCTGTGGCCAGGCAAAATGAATAAATTACTCTAGGATCATGACCAACACTTTTTAAACCTTTTGTCTTTAAAGGCTAAACAGTGCCTTGACCTGCAGTAACATCTTTGAACAAAGAAGGAACTTTCTGTTTGTGAACAAAGGAGGCTTTTGACTAATAGCTTATCATTAAAGGCACTGTGGGTCAAATATTGGATGTGCATGCTGAAGCTAGCACCAAGAGCCTAATACTAGAGTCTGAAAACCAATGCCAACAATTTTCCCAGATTTTTATTTTTAATATTTTTTTCTTATTCTCCTTAGTGGACTGCACAGCATGGTGTTTCAGTAAGTAAAAGTAAGGGCAGATAAAACAGATATAACAGTGATTCACATGGTTTTGGCTCATGTAATGTGACCTAAACTCCAGTGGTTGCAGCATTCTGTGATTTATGGAGAGGCAGGAACCTAATAAAAATTATTAGGTCAATAAAATCAGGGTGAAAAGGACTTGGAACTGTGTGCAAAAACTGTGCAAATTAAACACCACTGGCTTAAACAGTGACAGAGGAGGATTTGCCAGGGTTTGCTGAAACATGAAGGGAATGGTGCAAGACTGAGACCCCTATGTCAACACCTGCTTCTTCCAGCTTAATGTGTGTGTGCATTTGGAGCCAGGTAACTCACAAGAATCCAGAAACTGTTAGAAAATTATGGTCAGAGCACAACTTTAAAAAGTAAACTAAAGTGCAAGTATGGTGAAGTGCATGAGATCTAAATGTCACAGCATTGTTGAGGGACTTTTTTTTAAAAAAAAAAAGACAAAAAATGAAGCACTTGTCTTTACATAGGCTCATCTATTCTATCCAAAACAGCTTGAGCGTTGTGTGAAGTGGAAGAGTATAGTTAAGACAAAAAGACTTCTAATAAAAATATTGCATGAAGATTTCTAGCTCTGCCACTAATCCCTTGTAATACTTTAATTTAGTCTGCTCTGTAGGATGAGAAAGCAGAGCCAAGCACATGGAGGCATGGTGGGGACATTAAAGTGAGTCTCCTTGTTCTTTCTTATGCAAGAACCTATTTGGGGCAGGCTATTTAGATTGAAGCCCAGCAAAGTAACTGGGAGTGATCACAGGGGTGGAGGCAGAGGATCAGCGTTCCTTCTTGACTGAGTGTTTGCTCAAGTAGAAGCAAGAAGTATTTCAAAAAGTCAATGTCTTAATCTTCATTTTGTTAAGCCTTTTGGCCAAGCCAACACTTAATCCTACAGAGCACAGGACATCTGGTGCAAGCCCCTTGTGGATGCATCTTCTGGAGGTTTGCCTTGGAATATGTGTAGTCAGTGACTGTGTAGACTGTGAGGCAGGAGAAGCTGATTTGAGATCAATAACAAAACAGTACCTCTAACTGCATCCACATGAATTTCCTTGTCAGCTTTCTCCCTGGGCTAGGCTGGCAGTTGTCACAATTACACAGTTTGGGAAGGATGACAGGCACCCGTGGTTAGAAAGAGCAATGGCAATAAGTCAGAGGAGCTGGTGGTGTGGTGGGTGGGGACTGTTTTATACCACAAAAATACCAACCTGCCGGACAGCTTTTGCTCTACAAATCTCCCCAGTTTTGAAAATGATTTGGGGGGAAGGTTAAATGACAAAGACAGTTCAAATTGATCCTGTGGGATTTCGTTGCTGCCTAAGAAGGGCTTTGCCACAGTCATTTCCAGTGAGTAGGTCTGTAGTAAGTCAGAAATCTGTTGTGGCTGGTGCACTGTAGTGGTCCTTGGAGGAGTGTGGGTGAAAATCTACATGAAAATCCAACTGCTTTTTCTCCCTTTGTAATACGGGTGGTATTTTGTCATATGGTTAGCATGAACAAAGCATTGAACAGTAAGTACATTCCAGTTGAAAAATGGCTTTAGAAGAGGTCTATTAATGTACATACATGCTGCAACTAAAGTTGGCTTTCCTTGCCCTTCTTGAGAATCTTTTCACTCAAGCACAATGACATTCTGCTTTTAAGCAGCTGTACTTTGGGACTTGCACTCACAGGAAACAAAAGCAGAAGCTTAGAGAACGTGAACCGTGAATTTTCTGCTTGGTGTAAATTGCAACAGCAATGTCAAAGCAAACATGGCAGAGTGTAGACTTAGATTAGACATCAGGAATAAATTCTTCACTATGAGGGTGGTGAGACAGTGGAACAGGTTGCCCTGAGAAGTTGTGGCTGTCCCCTCCCTGGAAGTGTTCAAGGGCAGGTTGGATGGGGCTTGGAGCAACCTGGTCTAGTGGGTGGTGTCCCTGCCCATGGCAGGGGGGCTGGAATTGTATGATCTTCAAGGTCCCTTCCAACCCAAACCATTCTGTGATTCTCATTAGCAGAAACAGTACTGGCTGAATCTTGTTATGACCTCCAACCCTTCAGACTCAGGCATTCTCCAGCACATTAAAGAAAGAGTTGTCCATCCCTTCCAGCAGGAGGTAACAGGTGGACTTATTCATGGCATGTCTTGACTGTGCAGCCAACTCATCATCTCAAGTATTTGTCTCTATTTCAAGTGTTGTAGCATGCACATACCAGCACACAGAGTCCACTCTGTGCAATTTGTACCTCAAGAGTATTGTGATGATGGGTGCCCCAAAAGACATGTCTAGCTGAAGGCATGACTTGCCAGCCAGTAACACAGTAACTGTACAGGGCAGTTCAGAAATGCTAGAGATCTGGCTTTCCACAGTGTCCCTAGAAAGAACAAGTGATATTTTTTGCTGCATCTCACCAGAAAAATGAGTCATTGCCTGCCCCTCCTCAAGATGTAGCGCAGACACCAATTAGAGACAACTCTCACAGGGGGACCAATCTTACAGGAGCTACCCTGATTCTAGAGGGCTCTTATGAATGTAACAAGCAACTTTAATTAATGAGCCGCTGCAAAGATTTATTTTTTAGAAAAAAATAATTACATCCTCATCTATACAAAGAAGACTGGGCACTTGTGACTGACTTTTCTCATTGTCTCTGGATATTTCAGTTGAGAGGCTCCCTGAAGGGGCTTTAGGATGCAAAGGGTGGTGGTGGTAAAGAAAACAAAATTCCCTCTATAGCAATGGCATCATTGCAAGTTCTGGTGAAAAACCATCTTGCAGTGCTGTGAATTTATTAGGCTGAAATGTCAGGGTGGTGGAGTGTGAAAGGCTAAGTGGGTTCTCCTCACATTTCAGGGTAAGGTTTGCAAGCTCCTTGACCTAAGACTTGCACATTGGGTCAGACCAAAGTCTTGTTCAGCTCAGTGTCCCCTGAGTGCTGTTCCAGCAGTGATCCACAATGGAGACATGTGGAAGTAGGCCTGGGGCACGTATATAGTAACCTTTCCTCTATGTTATGTCCTGTTCTTCAGTAGCTCGCAACTCAGACTTTTTAAACTACTATTTGAATCTTGGGTGTTTAATAGCACTTCGTAAGCTTTCTTTTTTTCTTTAATGAATTATGCTAAGCCTTTCTCAAACCCGCATTAACTTTTGGTGCCTTCAGCATTGCATAGTATCTGCAGAATGTCTCAGTTTTTACTAAGTTGGTGTGCAGTAGTGCTTTTGATTGTTGTAGACTGATGTCTTCACTGGAAGACCTCTAGTCCTGTATGATGAGGCACTGTGACCCTGTTCCCATTCTTATCCTACTTGTAATTCTACAGATCTCTGTCATAACCTCTATTTGTCATTATAAGTTCCTACCTGTGGCTTATTTTTCTTCCATCTGATGCCATTCTTACTCTGAATTATACTTGTTGCCTCCTTTTGTACTTCTCTTCCTTCAGAGTTGGAAGATGCAAAATTGCATCTTGAGAACTGGGATTGCACAGTGGATTTATACTGATGTTGATCTATCTTATTACTGTAAGAGCTCCCTTTCTGAGTGGCACTAGCTAGTTCAGAGCCATCAAAGGGTATTTTAAGGTAGAACTGTCTTCTCGTTATGTACTTTTCTTTTGCAGCACTAAATTTCGCCTGGCACTTTGTAACAGAGCGTCAGCATGAGGTCCTTCTCTAACCCCTTGCAATTGACTTTTTATTTTTCACTGTTCTGAACCAATTAGTATCATAAGAAAACTCTTTGCCCACTTTGTCCCTGAGTTGCCTCTGAATACAGTGAACACCAGAAGTCTGTGGTAAAGCTTAATGAGATACATGGAGCTGAACAAGCACGTCTACTGTTATGTGTGAACCTAGGACTTTCTACCTCATCTTGTGGCTGAAGTGGTAGTGCAGCTGTGTAGCTTTAATATTTGCTGACTATTTTTCTTTAAATATGTCTTGAAGGTCTTAGCCTGTGTAGAGTCTGAATTGCTTGTCTTTTAGCCCTAATGACATGCTTTGATTTATCCAAACCTTAAGGACTGTGTTTAGTAGAAATCCATAGAGGTTATAGAGACCCTCCCTGAATTTGCAACTGACTTCAGTGCAGGCACTAACTGTGCGCTCAGAAAAGTTAGCTGGGTCTTAAATGCACTGACAGATGGGTGTAACAGTGCCCATTTACACCCGCTGGCACTGAGCAGGTCTTATCACCCTCCAGCAAATCAACTAGAACATGTGAAAGTCTCCAGACTTTGCTTCCAGAAATTACCCCAGGAAAGATGTGAAAACGAAAAGCTTCAGTCAAAAAGGTGTGTTAAAATCAAGGGCCTTGGCTGCTCCTCTGTGTATACAATGCTGTAACTTTTGCATGCCTTCAGATGCTGCAATGTGTAGTTGTTAATGTGAAATCTTAGGAAAGTATTTTAAATTTTACTCCCTCGAAAGAAGTGTCCAAATGTTTCTCGTGCAAGATAATCCAGATATGTGAACAGAAGGGAAAAAGAACCCAACAAACCAAAACCCAGACTCACCAGTCACATGTAGAACTGGAAACAAGTTGTTTTCAGTGTGAGTCCCTGCCTAGACCAAGTAGTTTTCTGAAAGCTGTTCCTTCGTTTCTGGAAACTTGTCAGTGTTTCTCTTCTGATGATGGAAAAAGTCAGCTGTTTCATGGGAGCTGGTTGTTCTGAAATACAGCCTGGGTTTAGATAAAAGTGATGAAGATTATGTACACTCCAGCAGGATTTCTCTGTATCTGAGCTGGTATCTGTGGAGTCCCACTGAGAACTTGTGTCTACCACCTGGTCTTTTCCTCCCTTGTGTAGACCTGGTATCCCCTTCTTAGAACTGGCTTGTAGGATTTCAGGTCTGTCCATGTGTGGTGCTTGGTTTGTGACCTGAAATGCTAGCCATCCTTTGCACTATAATTGTACGTGCATGTGTTTAACATTATACTGGAATGGTTCTGGTTATGACATCTGCATAGCTACTCTGTGAGGATGGAAAGAGGTGTCCTCCTTGGATTGTGGGGGGCTGAAGTCCAGGGAATTTTAAGCTCAGGGTTGTACAGAAAGCCAGCTGTGTCTTCCCCATCAAGCACTTTGCCACGTGAACAGTCTTTGCTACCCTTCTTTACCAGAATGTTTACCACAGTTCAGTTTCTTTGCTTGTGCCTTGCAGTGACTTCAGTTTCCTTTTCTCTTTCATGCAGAGACACATCTCTTTCAATTCCTCCCTGCGTGATCTGTCAGAAACTGTGGAAGCTTTTCGAGAGAGCCTTGGGAAGCTTGTTAAAGAGGTAAGGAGCACCTTTGTGTTGGGAAAACACATCACCGTGGTTGCTGCCTTAGCCTGCAATTGAGTACAAAAAGCACGAGTCGCCCTGGTGCAACTCAAAGTCAAATCAGTCCCTGCCTTGTTTTGAAACTTCTCCCTGTCCTACAGGCGCTCTCCCTGTCAGCAGAGGCAGCACACACCTTGCAATTCCAAGTTACAAACACCGCAGGAGTTTATCAGATGTGTGGCTGAAGACTGAGTCCTTATGAGCGGGTCAGGAATTCATGGCACAGCTGTGGGGCTCGCAGTGTGTCTGCTGCCGAGCAGGGCTCTGCAAACCGCGCGTGGGGGTTTTGCCCCCTTTGCCGCTTTCTCACTCGGTTGCCAACCCTGCCAGGGTTTCTAACTTGCTGGTATCTGCTGGTCTCTGGGTGTGGTGAGGGTATGGCATGTGAAAGATACATTGTGGGTGTTCTAAATGAGTAGCTATAGGCTACTGTTAGGTCTCTGTCTAACTAGCTTTTTTGGGGCAGAGATTGTTTTCCCATCTTTCTGGGGCACTCGGTGCAAGAGCATCACAGCACTGGCTGAGGGAGGCTCTGGCAAAACATAAATAGCTTTTTGCAGAGGCAAAGTGACATTATAGAGACTTCAAGTATTTGTTTTTGCAGGTTAAGGGGGAAAAAAAAAAAAAAAAAAAAAGCCCTGCATGCCTCGCATGAGTCAAAATCCCAAAACTGGGGTGTTGTTTTTGAGCCAGAAACTTATCTGAGCTGCTTTATGGCTGGTTCTGCCTTTGAAGTGCTGCTACCAGGCAAAAAAAACACCCAAAAAAACAACGCAAAAACATTCTCTGCCTGAAGGAGAGATCACAACCGTCTAAACCAAACAATGCCACCGCCTCCTCCTCCCTCCTCCCCTTTTGCTTCGCCTTCCGCCTTTGCGAGAGAGCTGGGAGCCGTGACCGGCAGTAACCCCTGCGCGGGTCACTCCGGGTCAG